GCCTTTGTGGGCTTCGGCGCAGGTGAATACTTTTAATGTCTTTTATTATAGAACATTATAATTTAACATAAACGTCTCCAATTCATTAACAAGTTTTTTATGGCAGGTAATGTTGCTGTGGTGAGGTCGTACGTTGCAGGGGCGACGTCACTGAAGGAGAGGACCAGCGCCATGGCCAACATGAGCGCCTGTCAGGCTCTGGGTTTCATCCTCGGGCCTGTCCATGTGGGGAGGGTCCATTCCAGGTCTTGCTGACAACACCAACTGCAGTGAAAGTTGCTGAACGATCGACGTGGGTTCATCTCTCACATTGCAAGCTGCAGAGAGTGCCACACCCCTGAACAAACTGTGCTGCACCCCCGAACAAGCTGAGTAGAGGGAAAAGTCTGGTTTACAAAGGGATTCGGTCATCAACTGGGGCCGTTTGTCTCAAACCCAGTGAAAAACTCAATGACCCTACTCTTTTTAGTGTTCAGGGGCCCCCGGTGACTCTGCAATCCAAGCAGTGAAGAATCGTCCAGGAGGGGAGACCCTGCGTTGAGCTGTGACCGATGTGTGTGGACCAGTGAGTGATGGAGCCAGCGATGGAGCCAAGACATGTCCATTTCAAGATGGAGGAGCCCAGATGTGGCCGCTACAGCATGGACGGTCTGAGACACGCCCTCTTTGGCATGGTGAGGCCACCTCCACCACGTGTGACATCTGTGACTCCTCGACACCCGCGGCGAGCAAGAAGATAATCAGATGAACTGCTTACAACAGCACTGTGTGTTTTCTATACAGTAATATCCTTTTTTTGTGCTCTTAGTAGTATTCCTTTTGTTCTGGTTGTTCTGGCCTCTCATTACAGGTAAAGCGGTGTTAGTGGCTGCCAAACCACATATTCAGGTACATAAGAGGTTTCAATTCACAGGTCCCAACCCAGCATTTTACTCTGCCAAGACACGCACACAATGGAAGCCCAGTTGCACCATTGGGCCTAACATTGCTATTGTTGCAACCACAACCTCCACTGTGTTAATTGACCGTTGTGTGTATTTTAAGTGTGAAGACAGTCGCAGCTTGGGATGGGCTTGGGATGGGCTTACAGTAACGTCATCTTTGCAGAGACCATCCCCCTCTTTTCACCTGTTAGGCTCTGATTACATCTCTGCAGTTCATGATGTGGACAGCCACCGCCAGCTTGGAAATATGTGGTGGAATGTGGTGCGAACTTATCTTCTTGCTGCACAGGTGAACTCCTCGTGCTATGCCTGCACTCTTTTCCCCCAGGATGGAGCCATGTCTTTGCCAGTTCGACCACACCCTTTAAATGAGCCAGAGGTATTATGCACTTTAATGGCCCTTACACCACCATACCCGGCGGCAAAAAATGGATGGATGCTAGTTAGAGCTAATATCACAGAGCCTTGTAAATATTTAGCTAACACCACCCTAAGAGCAACAAATAGTTCAGTTCTGAAGACTAAAGATGCCCATCTCTTTGAGTCATTAGGATCAGTTCATCCTCACTTTTCTCAGGTGACTCACCCGGTCTGTTTTCACATGCCTTTTTACAAGATTAGAGTTTTTCTTGGCACCACGCAGGGATGTAAGCGTATCTTGAGCGCCACTTCTACAGCACCGCCCTGGGACGCTTCTGGGTGTCACCTCCCAGGAAAGGCATCCAAAGCCAAGTCTTCTTTAAATTTCCATAATGTCAGTCATGTTTCTCAACTTATTGTGTGGCCTGGCGATTGTGGATTAGGAAGTCATCAAGATTCAGTCTGGCTTTGTGGTTCCCACTACTTTCAGGCTTTAACCCCGCTGTGGTCCGGCACGTGTGCCCTAGTGGATTTGAGACCTGCCATTTTGGTACTGGATTCTCTGGTGTATAACACCCACCACTACCCTCAGTTCATGGCGGAGC